AAGAACACAGAGTCACTTTTGTGACATTTTTGCCAAGACTCATGAACTTGATAGAATCAGGAGGAAACACCAGAGAACCTAAACTGAAGGATATCCTACAGAGTATTGACTTCTCTATCAAAAGTGACAAGGTCACACACATCAAGGAAAGAATGAGCAGCTGATCCAGGCGGGGAGAAACTAGAACACACCGGACAAGTAAAAGGAAGGTGCAGGATTCTGGGCGAGCTCCTTTGTTTAAGAAATGTTATTAAGATTATTGGGGGCTGGGGAGATGACTCAGTGGAATAAGCGCTTCCCTGGCAAGCGCAAGGGCCTGAGTTCAATCCCTGGTTCCGGGGGGGGGGGGGATTGGAAAAATTTGAATGGAGTTAGAAGATTAAATGGCAAATGCCAATGATATTTAGTTTTAGGGTCAGGGTTAGGTCCTCCTAAGGAAACCAGTTGTTAGCTGCTGATGTAGGAGGCAGGGTGGGGCAAAACTGACTGGAGAAAGAGCAAAACCTGTCAATTACAAGACCCCAGGCTGGAGAAGTGGAGGGAACCTGTCAATTTCAAGATTCCAGGGTGGTGGCGGAGTAACATTCAGGGACTTCTCATGAACTTTCATGGGATCTGGATGGTACAAAGAGCGGAGAACGGGGGTGGGGGTTTGGGGGGGTGGAAGGGGGGGGTTAGGGGCAAGGGGAGAGCTTGCTATCTGACCTCTCACAATAGCTTTGGGTCTCCCAGACCTGGGATGTACCTTTGTTACCATCTCTTGGTTGTGTGTTTGCTCTGCAGAACTAGTTCTTTTTTTACCCCTTCACCTCTCATTTTAAAATAAATTTTGGCAACAGTTTTAGTTTGTTTTGTGTAATTCCTTGTTTGAGATGAGAAAGTTCTGGAACACACCAGCTTGGTGAGCCAATTTTAAAGTAACTACAGGAAAACCCCACTGCTGGTCCTTGCTATGGTTTGAGTGTGCCCCCCACAGTTCATGTGTGGGAAACTGAATCCTCAAAGCCATATGCTGATTGTACTGGGAGGCTAATCATCTTCCAGTCCTAATTAGACTAGTTGTTGCCATGGGGGTGGGGGCCCCATGATGTCATGAGTGTCTTCATAAGAAGAGGAGGAGAGACCTGAACCAGCATACTCGCTGTCTTGTCAGGGGGTGACCCAGTCAGAAGGCAGTCACCAAATACTGGTGCCATAGTCTTGGACTTCTCAGACTCCAGAACTCCAGAACTGTGAGCCAATAAACTCCTATTCTTGAATTTCCCAGCCCTTAGAACTTCTGTTATGGCAACCTTTGTTTACCATCTGGTATGTGAAAAGCAGGGCTGGGGCGTGTGATGGGAACCCCTAAGAGTACTTCTATCAGTGCCATAGGACTTAACCTAGTCCCAACTGAATAATGCCTCCTGGAGGCACCTCACACCCAACTCCCAGGGCACCTATGAGCTTGAAAATCACACACTTTGCTGGGTGCTCAGTAGAGAAGCTCCATGGACTGAACAAACTGCAGTACCCAGAGCTGGGAGAGGGCTTAGTGAGCCCTTTACACTTCCTTTTATCCTTGTAGCAATCCAGGAAGGTTAATAGCGTCCCCTCCCCCACCCAACCTCCCCCCTTCTTCTATTTCCCTGAATATGAATTAAGCCTCTCCACTGGTGGGCCTAGGGCTGCGCTAGAAGCTGAAGAGACAACAGTGAACAAGATAAACAAAACCCCCTCTCTTGAGAAGCTGATGGGCTAGAAAATAAAGAGGCAGCTGGTAGGGTGGAGGCAGCTGGTAGGGTGCAGGCAGTGAGATGAGCTGAGAAGAAAATGCCTGACTGTTGTAAAGGGAGAAGGGGAATGGAGTATTGGAGCCTGGTGACAGGAAGAACATCTGTCTAAGAAGCAGTAGTTTGCAAGAGGAGGGGCTTGCTTTTGTGTGTGCCTGTGTTCAATTTTAGCCGTGCTGTAGTTGACATGCCTATTACAATCCACGTGGTAGTGTCTGCAGTTCAGAGAAAAGTCCAGGCTACAGACAAATTTGGGCATCCTAAGTACATAAATGATTCTCTCTCTCTCTCTCTCGGCATATAACTCACAGTTGTGCACATGGTGGGCATGCACATTGTGACTGAGCTATAGGGCCAGCCCTAAAAATGATCTTGAAGCTATCAATGAGATTATTTAGGTAGATCCCACAACTGGTGCTTTTCCAGAGCAGAGGGAATGGCAAATAGACAGGCAATGTCATTTGCCCCAAAATATGCAGCTAGTAAATTGCACACTGGGGATTCAAACCTGGGTCAGACTTGTGCCAAGCCCTGCTGGCAGCTGCTCTAGATTTTTGCTGCTGTTGACTGGAGGCCTGGGGCATGCACTAGATATTTCAGAGATGTTTCATGTTTTCTCATCTGTCAAAAGAAGGTAGTGGTTGAGGAGCAGATGGAGGGTAAGGGTGGGGCAGAGTTACTGATGCTCAGGTTTGTGGCCAGGAAGCCAGTTGATAATTTAGAAGGTCAGTAGAATGTCCAGGTATGCACCCCTTTTCCTACCACCTTTAGACACTTAATTGTGGGAAAACAGTGTTACCTTGGGGTAAGGGGCTGGGAAAGATGTATATACAGAGTCCAAAAACTAAATGTCACTTTACAGCAAGACTCAATCTGCTCCCAGGCTGGAACCAGCACCTGTATGAACAGCAGTCATTCCCAGAAAGCACAGGATCCCAACAAGCAAAACCTTGACAGCTGATCACTGGGTGAGCCTGATATTTGGAAAGAGGAATCGGAGAGCAAAATGGGGCTGGTGGCATCAGGCTGCGTGGCTGGAGTAGCTCTGGGCACTACAGAGCTGGCCCTGCTGGGGAGACTGGAATTGACTCCATGGCTTCTGCCAATGCTCCAGCAAGAAAACTATTCCTGGGCCAACCCTGGACTGAGTTGTCCCTAACAGCCTCAGGATGCTTCTGAAGGACTCATTGAGCCCCTTTCTCCAACTCATCTTTCTTTGGAGTTGTTAATCCTCTCAGTCTGGCCAGGCTGAGTGGGGGCCCACAGCCTCTGGGGCTCAGCCCTCCCTTTGTGGAATGTCCACAGTGTAAATGCCAGTGGTTCCTGTCATGTGGGGACTGGGCAGGTGTCTGGCTACTTCCTGCCCCCTCCCTCTCCCAGCTGGCAGGAGCCTCCTCCAGCTGGCCTCTCTCACTGTGGTGAAGCGCAGTTCCCAATCCATCCCAGAATGGTGGCTCCCAGCTGTACTCTCTATTCAGCTGAGCCCTGGACTCCTTGATCAGAACCTCGAAAGCCCCTAAGTGGTCAACAATCACTCTGCCAAAGTCCTGAGCCCAACTCAGCTCAGGCCTGCTCAGCTGAGTCTGGAAGAGCAGCAGGTGTGGAGGGGGTTGGGAAGGGTCGTCCAGAACTGCAGAGCTTGATCAGAACTGCAGAGCTGGACTGAGTTCAGCCATCTATTTACCCTGCCAGTCTGGGGGTCCACCCTTCCCCTCTTGCAGTGCATGCCCAGAACACTAGGATTTACATTGGTCAGGGAACAAATACAGGTGTCAACATTTGGGAGTTCAGGGCTTTGGGTCATCTTGCATCAATGGAGTCCACTGCTGTTGGTGGGATGGGCTCTGGAAAGCCTGGAGTGGGGAGGACACTGACATAGGGGGCTAGGAAGGGCTGGTCTTGGGGCCTGGGCACCAAGAAAGTGGAAGTTTGACATAGGACCGTAAGTGCCCATAGGTGTGCCCACCTCCCATGGCATTTAGTAGTGGGAGGAGCTACAGCAGCCACAGCGTCTCCAGAATGCAAGTGAGCATCTGGAGCCAAGCACTACAAAAATCTTGGAGAGTTTAGTGATAAACCAAAAAAGACCAAGACTGAAACAATTGCTAGTTACTTGTGTCTGTAAATAGGACTGTGATGCAGTGGACTCTGATACCACAAATGACCTGTTTTCAGAAAGAACAGGAAGCACACCAAAACATGACAGGATCTGCAATCCACCCCTACCCAAGGGTGGAGGGAGAGACCAATCTGCAGCTACTGGGTGAAGGCAGTTGGAGGAATTCTGCTTGTGAAGATTGAGACCTGTCTCCCCTGTTGCTAGCTATGTGCCCTCAGCAAGTCACTGTGGCTCAGTTTGCCATTTGTGGAAGGAATAAGAAACATCGGGTTGGCCACCAAGGTCAAGGGGGAGGGGAGATGAGGTAAACTGGTGTGAGTTGGACGTTAGCACAGCTTTATGGAGGCCATCCACTGGCAACCTCAGCTTCTTGGAGGTCCCTGACATGTGCTTTATTACAATGCTTATTTGCTGTCTGTATTTTTCATCAGACTACTAAGGTCTCATCCTCAGACCGTTGTGCCTCATTTTCCTGTGCGTAAGTCGGGGTCCACAATCCTTCCTACCTCTGCTAATTGTTGTAAAAAGCAAAAGAGAGTGCACCAGAACCCTGAGATTAGTGCCCAGGAAGGGCTGAATATGTGTTACTTTCATTATTGTCATTCTGTACACTTTACCGTCCCACTGCAAAGCCCTAAGGCGTTGCCATATCCCTGGACTTGGGTGCAAGCCACTGGGTATCCTCTTTTACTGCCTCAACTTGAGGATTGGGCCATCTTTCTGGTGCTCGAAGAGAGGGGGGAAATAACACGGTGACATGGAGAGACTGGCACTCAGTAGGTGCTTAAGAAACGGGTGGCTGACAGTAGAGCCTGACCAATGCACGCTGTCTCCCTCCCTTCCTCCTGTGTTGTAATGCTCCAGCTGCCCACATGGTCTTTAAGGGTGTATTTGCTCCCAGCGACACCCATTCCCACAACAAAGAAACTCGGCTTCCCGGGGCCTCCTCCCTTCGAAGCAACCAAGAGACGCAGAAGGTGAGAAGCGACCCCGCGTCCCGGGCTGCCCCCAAGAGTCGGGGCTCGGGAGCTGTCCCTGGTAGGTGTAGGTGTTCGAGGGCCAGGGGCGGACGCGGGGCCCCGCAGGGCGGCGGGCGGCGGACACAACTCAGAAACTAGGTGGCGCCCGCGGGGCGCGCGGCAGCGCCGCCTCCACCGCGATTTAAAGGGCAGCGAGGCGGAGGGATCCTCGTACCGACGCTCGAACGATCCCTCCGCAGCGAGACGAAGCGACGGCAAAGACGCGGGTCGTTTTCTTGAAAGTCGCTCTTGTGCCTCCGCCGTCGGGAGCCGCTGGCGAGGAACTTCTTTTTCCCTGGCGTCCCTCCACTTCACCTCACAAAATCTCGTCGAAGCCCCTGAGGCGGCCAGCTCCGGGCAGGGGGGCGCGCTCGCTGCCGACGTGGTGTCCCTCCGCCGTCGGCCACGGACTCTTTTTCGTGTCCTTCCACCGGGCCCGGGCGGTGTCCGGGTGGCTCACCGGGGGCGGCGACGCGTTTGCGGTGCGGACAGCGAGGCTCCGGGGATATGAGGTGAGAACACCCGGGGACCGGAGGAGGCACCGCGCGGCGGGAGGACACGGGACGCGGCCCCCGAGGGTGGCGGATGCTTTTCGGACCGTGCGGCCGCACGCAAGGTGGAGGTGAGGCCTGAAGCGGCGGGGCGAGGGCAGCCGAGCGCGGCCGGCCGGGGGCGCGGGTGCGGGGGCCCGGTGGCAGCAGCGGCAGCCCGGTGGGGGCGGGGGGCCTGGAGCCGGCGGGACTCCTTTTTCCCCACTGCGGATGGAGCGAGCGGTGCTGCGGTTCGCGCCGCCATCTTGAATTTTACTCTCCATTTTTCTGTGGAATTATTTTTTGGTGATTAATTTTCTGAGGGGACGGGAAAGAGTGGCCCGGCAGCGTGGGTTTCCCCCCCTTCCCGTCCCAGCAGCCGGGCAGCGGGGCCTCGAACGCGCCCGAGCAGTATCGGCCGGCCGCGGTG